CTCCTATCAACTGTAAGTTGGATGGTCCACCAAACTTACCTAGATAGCTCATGGTTAGTGAATATAAGAAAACCTGGTTTCACTATCATGCCAAGGAGTCCCTTTTTTAGGGGCGTTAGGGGGGTATTGGATGAAGTGCGATTAAAATAGTGTTGGGTGGACAACTCTTTTGCGGGCTATCCACTTAAGGTGACACAGAGTTTTGCTCTCTCTCCTCGTTCTCTCGTCTCTCGCTCTCGTCTTCTCTCTCCTTCCGGTCTCTAGTTGTATGTGGCTATAGGTAGGTACGTGTGAGTAGGGCTTAGGTAGTAGGTAAGTATCATATGATAATTAGTACTAGTATACCGGGCGTAGTTTCGTATTAGCTATATATAGTGTAGGTATAATATGTCGTTCTATATCTGTGGCCATCGTACACTCCTGTGACGTTGCTGTGTTATTGGTGTATTTTCCTTTGCATTGGAAGAATTTTTTTACATGCCTAACTTTTTGGTATGGCATACATTTTAGTAATTTTTTTATGGTCTGTACATGTTTCCATTATCTGACCATGAGTGTAGGTTTGTATTGTGAGTTAGTCCTTTGAGACTATATACTGTAGTACTCGTTCATCTTGTCTATCCAGTTCAGTAGTTTGTAAGAAAAGTTTTGTTGGAAGGATTAATTTTTTCAAAGGATATTTGAACAATTTTGATCTTTGAAAGAAGTGTGTTTGGCGACTACTTTCTTTCATGACCTATGACTTATGCACAACATGGAAAACTCTTCATTCAGTACATAGCACGAGTTACTTTTTTTAAAGTAAGAAAAATAACCTCAAGATCAAGGCATTATTTTTGTTCTTGAACACATGTTGACGAAGAAGCTACCATTTATAATGTGTTTTTAACACTAGAATATTTCCTTGTATCTTCGTGTCTTGTAAAATGAACAACTGACTGATGAAGTATAAACTTGCAAGTCACAACATGACTAACAATTTACACTGATTTCTTCATGTTCTTTATTGAGTGACGAACAATTATAAGATGACAGATTTTATCAGTTGAAATACCATGAAAATGCGTCCTTCAATGGTGCAAGGGAAATAGACAATGATGATAGCTAGATAACATTTTATGGTACGATCACTATTGTCCCACTGAATCACAAATTAGCAATTAATGAAGCATGCAAGCCATGCCCTTGTAATTTGTTGGCCATTTCTCAAATAGCCCAAGTTTCACCTTTCCTTGGAGCCTCCTGATTCAGCATTGGTACTGCTTTTGTAACCATAACATAAATTGGAATCAATATGCGTGACCACAGACTCAACCACCCTTGCTCCATTTCACTTATCATGGTTCAGCTTCTTCAAATCTTCTATTCAACTAAAGATAGTAGCATGCTGTGTAGCCTTACCCCCTAAAATGTGCACATTATGCTTCACAGGAGCAAGTATTTTGAAAATGGAGAAGTGCAGTCATCCTTTCTTGACAAACTTCTGCAGAAGGTTAGTATGAACTTTCACTTAAACGGGGGCTTCTCTATATTAATTCTGATATCTCTAATGATCGTGATTAAGTGCAGTGGGACGACCGACTGCGTAGAGGTTTGTTCCACTATGATATCACAACCTATGAAAGGAAGGTGAGGTTCATTTTTCAGTTATCATTTCCTCCTAATTGTCTTCAGGAAAACGAAGCATAATTACATACGGTTAGCCTTATCTCTTCAGGTCATTCCAGGAGAATATGGTTTTATAACTCAGCTGGTTGAAGGTCGGGACCTCAAGAAAAGACCTACTGAGTTCAGAGTTGACAAGGTTCTCCAACCATTTGACGAAGCAAAATTCAACTTCACGAAAATTGGGCTGGAAGAAGCACTCTTTAGGTTTGAGGGAAGTGAGAACGAGAAGGCCCAATATTTCCATGATTCTCCTATCTCCGAATCAGACCCGCTAAATTTCATTGCAATCAATGTCAGTGCAAACCTTTTCAAGTTTTTATACCTGACAAAGAACGAAAAGAAAATAATATTTTGTTTTCCTATAGGTTAGCCCTATTGGTCATGGCCACGTCCTTTTGATTCCTCGCATAAAAAACTTGTTGCCTCAAAGGATTGATCAAGAGAGCTTCTTGCTTGCTTTCTATCTGTCAAGAGAGGCTGGGAGTCCTTACTTCAAAGTAGGCTATAACAGTCTTGGTGCTTTTGCCACCATCAATCACCTACACTTTCAGGTTACTGAACAATCCAAAGAATATATCTAATTTATTAGTTATTTACCTGAACAATTTTTTTGTGCATATGTACCCCTTAATTCATGAGTATTCCCATATCTCAGTATTTGCAAAACTACCACCCAAATCATCTAACTTAAGAAAACAATATCTTAAAAACAACAGATCATCAACTTTGTTGGATGGGGTGAGTTAAACTTTTGACTATTTTGTAGGTACTTTTACATTGTAGTTGCAAATTAGCCTGTCAAAGTTGATGATTTGTTTGATTTGAGGGATACTCTCTTCTGAAGTTGATGACTGGGAGTAATTCTACAAACACTGAAATTTGGGGTAGTTTTGCAAATGCGCATGATTTGAGGGACATATTAAAAACCCCTTAACTGAAATAAAATTTAACAGTTGATTGTGCGATTTGTGATGAAAACAGGCTTTTTACTTACCAATGCTGTTACCAGCAGAGAAGGCTATTACTGATACCGTAACGACATTAGGGAATGGAGTGAGAGTCCTGCGACTTGTAAACTATCCTGTAAAAGGCATCGCTTTCGAATGTGGTGATAATAGTAGCATACAAGACTTAGCAGCTACTATCTCCAATGCTTGTATTTACTTGCAAGATAACAACCATCCTTACAATGTTCTCATCTCTGATTTGGGAAAGCGAGTTTTCCTCTTCCTTCAGGTTGTTTCGGATTAAGCATTTTTGCAATATACCCCTTAAATCATGAGTATTTGCCAAAATACCCCCAAATTATCAACTTTGGAAAATAACATCTCCCAAATCAACAAATTATCAACTTTGTTGGAATATTTTATATTTTGAAAATGGAGAAGTGCAGTCATCCTTTCTTGACAAACTTCTGCAGAAGGTTAGTATGAACTTTCACTTAAACGGGGGCTTCTCTATATTAATTCTGATATCTCTAATGATCGTGATTAAGTGCAGTGGGACGACCGACTGCGTAGAGGTTTGTTCCACTATGATATCACAACCTATGAAAGGAAGGTGAGGTTCATTTTTCAGTTATCATTTCCTCCTAATTGTCTTCAGGAAAACGAAGCATAATTACATACGGTTAGCCTTATCTCTTCAGGTCATTCCAGGAGAATATGGTTTTATAACTCAGCTGGTTGAAGGTCGGGACCTCAAGAAAAGACCTACTGAGTTCAGAGTTGACAAGGTTCTCCAACCATTTGACGAAGCAAAATTCAACTTCACGAAAATTGGGCTGGAAGAAGCACTCTTTAGGTTTGAGGGAAGTGAGAACGAGAAGGCCCAATATTTCCATGATTCTCCTATCTCCGAATCAGACCCGCTAAATTTCATTGCAATCAATGTCAGTGCAAACCTTTTCAAGTTTTTATACCTGACAAAGAACGAAAAGAAAATAATATTTTGTTTTCCTATAGGTTAGCCCTATTGGTCATGGCCACGTCCTTTTGATTCCTCGCATAAAAAACTTGTTGCCTCAAAGGATTGATCAAGAGAGCTTCTTGCTTGCTTTCTATCTGTCAAGAGAGGCTGGGAGTCCTTACTTCAAAGTAGGCTATAACAGTCTTGGTGCTTTTGCCACCATCAATCACCTACACTTTCAGGTTACTGAACAATCCAAAGAATATATCTAATTTATTAGTTATTTACCTGAACAATTTTTTTGTGCATATGTACCCCTTAATTCATGAGTATTCCCATATCTCAGTATTTGCAAAACTACCACCCAAATCATCTAACTTAAGAAAACAATATCTTAAAAACAACAGATCATCAACTTTGTTGGATGGGGTGAGTTAAACTTTTGACTATTTTGTAGGTACTTTTACATTGTAGTTGCAAATTAGCCTGTCAAAGTTGATGATTTGTTTGATTTGAGGGATACTCTCTTCTGAAGTTGATGACTGGGAGTAATTCTACAAACACTGAAATTTGGGGTAGTTTTGCAAATGCGCATGATTTGAGGGACATATTAAAAACCCCTTAACTGAAATAAAATTTAACAGTTGATTGTGCGATTTGTGATGAAAACAGGCTTTTTACTTACCAATGCTGTTACCAGCAGAGAAGGCTATTACTGATACCGTAACGACATTAGGGAATGGAGTGAGAGTCCTGCGACTTGTAAACTATCCTGTAAAAGGCATCGCTTTCGAATGTGGTGATAATAGTAGCATACAAGACTTAGCAGCTACTATCTCCAATGCTTGTATTTACTTGCAAGATAACAACCATCCTTACAATGTTCTCATCTCTGATTTGGGAAAGCGAGTTTTCCTCTTCCTTCAGGTTGTTTCGGATTAAGCATTTTTGCAATATACCCCTTAAATCATGAGTATTTGCCAAAATACCCCCAAATTATCAACTTTGGAAAATAACATCTCCCAAATCAACAAATTATCAACTTTGTTGGAATATTTTAAGTATTTGACTATTTTTGAAATTTTCGCATTGCAGCTATGAATTAGCCTATCAAATTGATTTGTTAAATGAGGGGGCATTTTTTTTCCCCCATAGTTGATGATTTGGGATAGTTTTGCAAATACTGTGAGTTAGAAGGTAGTTTTGCAAACATACATGATTAAAGGGGTATATATAAGATTTTTTTTTTTCATTATTGATATCATTTTCCATATCTAGATTGTAATCTTAATCTTATATTTGTTTGAGTTATGAATAGAATTATGCCGAGAAACGATCTCGAGGGGAGGTGAGCCAAGAGATTATGGATAACCAAGTGAACCCAGCTGTATGGGAATTAAGTGGTTATATGGTGTTGAAGAGGAGGGAAGACTACGGCAAGGCAACTGAAGAGAGTATGTTGGGCTTCTTGTCTCTAGTATCCTTATCTGAGGAGAAGTACCGAGAGCTACAGGAAAATATCTTGAATGCCCTATTTCAAGGGAAAATTTGATAGAAAGTAGACTCATAACATGTGAAAGTTCACAATGTGGTGATAATTTGTGTCCTTTGTTTCTTCTTTTTTCCTCCTTTGTGATTATGTTCCTTCTTTGTACTGTGCATTAATGGAACTAGTGTGTGTATGTAATTGTTTTATTATTATTATTGCAAATAAGGATGGAAATCTCATGAGAGACTTGAGCCTGCTACTATTACCTGGTTGTAAAAGTATAGAGTTCATATCCCCAACTCCATGGATATAAACTGAACAGCAGTAGTTCCTGCATATTTTTTATATGACCATCCACGCCCCATATTTATAGGATACAAAATCAATTCTAGAACGTGGATTTGAAATTTCAACAAAAGCTGCATCATATCGAGCAATATTAACTGCCCTATTTGCCTCTCCATCATCTCCTACAAACAGTTCCCTCTGTCTTCTTCATTTGCCTTTGCTTCATCGGCAATCATCCTTCTAGTTCTCCGAGTAAGAGCCCTTCTTGTGCGATCAATGATAAATGAATGACCAAACCAAAATTAAGAGAAATGATTAGTATGTCCCAAAATTACAAGAGCATGTCTACTTTTTTTCCTGGTAGATGCACATTGGTCCTTTATTTCCAAACTGCCCGAACTAACAAAGATATCCATTCAATCTTATGTTCAGGTGGAATAACATCAAATCTCCAATGTGTCCAAAGATCAGTTAACGATGAGATATCTCCCGACAGAGCAAATTTATGCAAAGTTGATCTCCACAAAGATTTAACATAAGGACATTATATGAGATGGTGATCATAAGAACATATAGGATCAATATTTACGTTTTTCATGATCAATCTTTCTTTTGTATTTAACTTCCTCGATCTAAGGCAAGCAAATATATTTACCATCAAAGGAACAGGGGATTTCTAAAATGTCTAAATGTGCATATTTAGTACCACCATCGATCAAAAATTGATAATGGGAGCGCGACTGAAAACTTCTATGAGCTCCCCAATCCCTACTCTCTGTTATCAGGAACAAGATCCAAGGGCAACACATCAATTAGCCTTCTTAATTACCAAAACTACAGCACACAGAACCCAGTTAACTGTCTAACAAATTGTATTCTCCAACATCTATGCACCCCCACCTGAAGTTGATGAGAAGAAATAGTGGCCCAAGGATCAGAAGCAAGAGCAAAATGATTGGGAAACATTATGGAAAGAAGAAAATCTCTAGCGCAGCTATCCTTCTAGAACAATGTTTTAATGCCTACACGTGCTTGGGCCTTAGAGCTACACGAAAAGCTATATCTTAAAAAGACAATACTTCTCCAAAGTGGAGAAACAAGCTTCTTATGACATTTGGGATTTAGAAAGTCAAAATCAATATAATACTTACGTTTAATAATAAGTTTCCAGAGAATCTCATCATTGTTCAGCCACTTCCAAAGCCATTCCCCAAGCAAGGAGAAGTTCATAACATTAATATTTAAAACCCGCAATCCTCCTTACCATTTTCGCTTACGAAGTTCACCCCACTTGACTAAATTAGAAACATTTTTAATCTCATCAGAACGCATCCAAAAAAATCTTCTTCTATTCTTATCTATCCCGTCACAAACCCACTTAGGTAACAGAAAATAAGACATCCAAGATGTTGGTAAAGAGGACACAAAAAGTTAATCAGTGTTAATCTTCCACCTCTAGATTGGTCTTTTCCATTCCAAGTAGTCAGTCTTTTCTCAAAACGTCACCAATTCGCTTTCTAAAATTTTCCAGACCTCATAAGGACACTAAGTATGTAAAATAGGAAATGATCCTTCTAGATAGTTCATTCACTAGTAGAAAACAGGGTATTGGTGACGGGAAAATCCGTCACCAATACTCCAAAATCCGTCACCAATACACATTGGTGACGGGGACGGATCCGTCGCTAATAAATCCGTCGCCAATAAGCATTGGCGACGGGGTCCCCCGTTGCCAATGCTTATTGGCGACGGACAACTATTGGCGACGAATTTCTTTGGCAACGGATGGTTTCCGTCGCCAATGCGCATTGGCGACGGGGTGATCCGTCGCCAATGTTTAAAACATTGGCAACGGGGTTTTTCCCGTCACCAATGTTTTAAACATTGGCGACGGATCACCCCGTCGCCAATGCGCATTGGCGACGGAAAATCCGTCACCAATGTTTAAAACATTAGCGACGGGTTTTTTTTCGTCGCGAATGTTTTAAGCATTGGCGACGAGAAAAACCCCGTCGCCAATGTGCATTGACGACGGAAAATCCGTCGCCAATGTATATATTTATGCAAATAATAATAATTTTCTGGTAGCCTCCCTATAGCCTGTATCAACATCAATCCAATGACAATATTTAACAATATATCATAAAATCAACCATGATATACATTCACATTCCAAATGAATACTCATCCAATTTCATCCGTCAATCCACAATATCGAACAATACTCATCATATAATCACAATCACAATACATCTCGCATGCTCAAATAATATTCATTCACTACGCAATAAAATCACAAATATATTACATATAGGTAAAATTCAAAAGTCATAATATGTCTTCACACAATTGAAAACTACATAAATATAAGAACAAGTCTCACTCACTCCCCGTCATCGTCGTTGTTGGCATCCTTGTTATCAACGTCGTCTGCATTAGAACGTCTTATCGTACTGCTGCTCCCTACGGGAGTACCTCCTCTAACCTGAAAAGATTATCACTCCACATAAGATATATATATATATATATCAAAAATATCATAATAAATACATATATATCACGTCATATATACCTCTCCACCACCATGAACTTCATGCTCGTCAAACGCCAACTTAAAGATAGCTATGAATATCGACTCGGGAAGAATCTCATTCAACGACGGACAATCATTGAGGCGCTGCACAACAATAATAAATAACATATCCATGAAGATAAATTCAACAGAGAATTCAATAAACATTTAACCAAGAAGCTCATTGTGTTTTGATTATCAAACATTAAAGTAAGGACCAAGTAAAAGAAGTGTAAACGTGAATGGCATAAGAACTGCAATGGATGGAGGAGTTGTGTTAAACAAGTAAAAGAACTTAAAATGTGTATCAACTTGGCTATGGCCTGTCCTAAAAAATAAAAAACATACCTACTGCCCCTGATCCTGGGCTCTGAGCAGCTATGTAAGCAAACCCAACATCTGGAAACAACCCAATTCCATTTTCTGGCATGGCTAGAAGAGTTTTCAGGACAGCTATTTATTTCTTAAAAACCATCGCGTTAACTCTCAAGGAATCTTAGGGCTTTTCTAAAGCAATAAAAACCCACTAATTATTTTCATGCTCTATCTGGACAGATTGCATATTCATACAATAAAGAATAAACATATAAGCAACTAGTTCTAAAAAATTCAGGTGAAATGTTCGGCAATTCAAGCTATGGATTTCATTAGAAGTTATGATTTTGATGTGTGGCCTCATTTTAGACTAGAAGCATAGTTTTATTATGCTGCAAAATAATACCCCAGAAAGGCACAAGAAAGTGGAACAAAAACCAAATATAGACCATTGAGACCTGTCAAGGGGTGAGTTGGATTTTCCAAGGTATGGCCTATGGAATTAAAATTTTAAAAAACAGCAGCAAGAATAATAATAAAAGAAAAATAGAAATAAAACAACAGCAGCGGCAGCGAGTAATAAAACAAAACTTAGACATAAATCAAAAACCTTCATGTGCATTTGCACTCAAAGAGAAACAAATCTATCAGAACTACATCACCATTTACCAATTACAAATTTTCATACCCATCCAAGACTGTTTTTTACAGCTTCATAATTATTCCCCCAGAACGAGTTATGTAATTAATATAACAGAAGTTCACAACAGTTATAAACACCTCTAAGGAAAAGAAATAACAGAATCGGTTAACAAAAGCTTAATAATAAAATATTCAAATAGTAATGCACAATTTTACTGATTTCTGAGCATATGGAAAACTGAAAATAATTGTTCCTATGCATATTCAGTTCGGACAGAATTTCCCAAGATTTACAGTAGCAAGACCATGAACAATCAACTTGTGATTAAAACAAAGCTCATGATCTAGAAGATTAATCTGATGAGAATTTATAATATAAAGATAGATATGAATACAGACCTAGTTCATAATAGAAATCACCAATCCCCAGTAGCTAGAGGATCCACTCCAACTTTAGCACACATCTCGTGAAACTGTGATCTAAAAGTAGGATTTTTACGAATGTCATTCTGCAACAAAATAAACTATTTAATCAAGGCCGTCCCCTCGTGATCCTCTATCGACACCTTCAAAAATAAGAAATCTTTCAAAAAGAACTCAAATTCTAAACCCTAGAACATCTGAAAAGAACGATAAATGGAAATTCTTATCAGATCTTGGTCGTCGGCGGCGAGAGAGGTTGTGATCTAGGTGGCGATAGGTGACAACGGTGGTGCGGAGATCAAAATTGGGGACGGGCGGGGGCAGGTTTGCTTGGTCGTCGAGGTTCTGGTGACGAGCGGGGCGTCGGTGCTCGAGACGGCGGCGCCGCTGAGGGGGCTGGGGCTGGAGGTGAGGGACACGGTGGTGGTGATCGACAGGGAGCAGGGAGGGAGGGAGAATCAATCTAGCTGGGGAGGGGATAAGGAATGGGAGGGCGACGGAGGAGAAGGGGAGGGAGGTCAGGGAGTTCTTTAAAATCGGTAATTTGTTTTGAGTGAAAAATTTAGGGGGAATTCTCCCGCCAATTTTTTAGGCCTAAAAACATCTTTTTATATATTTATTAATAAGAAGTTTACAATTAGTTTGAAATAACATATCGTCGCATACCTTACTCAACGTTTCTTCCATTAGTCATAATAAAATAAGAGTGTGTTTGGTAACCAAAATATTTTTTTTGTGTTTTTTTTAAAAAACATCATACCATGGTATTTATTTTTCAAACGTATTTTCAAAACACCATTTTTTTGACCAAAAATTGTACAGACAAATCCACAAACAAAACCCACTTGATCACAGACACATAGTATAATCACGAACGACGCCGAGATCAAATCACAGCGTGATGCCCTAATGCTACGGAATCACAGCAATGAAGCCCTAAATTTCGATCACAAATGACGCCAGATCGAATCACAGTGTGATGCCCTAATTCTATGGAATCACAACAATGAATAAATTTCGATCAAAGTGAGTTGTGACCTGAACAGCACAGTGAGCGGGGACGACAGGGGTGGAAGCGAGGGCGGCGGATGAAGTCGAGGCTGACAGGGTTTCTGGGGTGGTGGAGGTGGTGGTTGTTGAGGGGGGACTTGAGGCGGAGGTGGTGGTTGTCGAGGGGAGACTTGAGGCGGAGGAAGGCCACCAAACACCAAAAACCAACCAAAATCAATGCACAAATACCAAACACCAATTTTAACGTGGTTCGGCAATTGCCTACGTCCACAGGGTAAGAAGGGGATGGATTTTTCACTAATAGAGAAGAAGAGTACAAATTGATATTACAAATCACTCGAAGGAACAAACTAATCTCACCAACAACCCTCTTAATCTCTCCAAATAAACCCTAATCAAATAACTTAGAAAATACCTCTTTTCTGTGCTCCAAATATCCTAAACTCTAGCCACCAAAAATCCTAGAACGTGTATTGGTATTTATACAAACAGGAAACCAACATATGGGCCTGACCCGCTACGCGGTCGACCGCGATTAAACGATAGAGACAGAAAATGTCCTACAGGGTCTGGCGGTCGATCGTGGCGGTCGACCGCGCCAACTCCAGACTCCTACCAAAGTATGTGCACGTTCTCAGTCGACCGGCCTTGCGCCGCGGTCGACCACGCAGCTTCCAAAGTGACTCATGCGCTCTTCTAACACCTGTTCTTCACCAAATTGCTCACGGTTTCTTCAGCTCTTGGGAGTTCTTGGGGGTTTATAGGTTTTATAGAACTTATTTGGTTTTGTTTAATCTTGACAAAAAGAGAGAAAAAGTGATAATTGACAAAAAGAGAAAAAGAAGATCTGCATCTAAAGCTTGGAAAATGTTTAATATTGTTACATCGCCGAAGGTAACCATGGGACGAAAAACACGTTAAGACACGTGAATAATAGTAAGAAAGCTACTGGAAAGGATATTGAGGATTTATCTAACTCAAAAGATTCTATAATGAGTTATTCAAGATTTAGTTTTGACCGAAATAAGTTTAGAGAGCTCTTAGTCTAGGCCATCATTATGCACGATTTGCCATTTCAGTTTGTTGAGTATGAAGGTATTTGAGCAATCTTCTGACATCTTTGTGAGGATCTAAAACACATATCAAGAAATATTTTTAAAGTCGATGTTCTTAAAATCTATGGAAGAGAGAAAAGTAGGTTAAAAGAAGCTTTTGAATCGATTCCGGGTAGAATTGGCTTGACTTTCGATTTGTAGACATTAATAGCAACCGGCGGATATACTTGTCTCACGTCACACTATATTGATCATGAATGAAAATTATAAAATAAGATAAGTTTCAGCTAATTATGTTTAATATGTGCAATAATACAACATTGGAGATCTAATATTTTTATGCTTTGTTTATATTTAGGAATTCGACTCGTTTGAAAGTCAAGAAATAATACAATAGCTTAGCAGGATAGGAGAAGCTAAATAAACTACTAGATCCATCTAACCCCCCTGCACCAATTAACGTTAGCCATTTGGATCTCTAATCTCTATGAAAACACTACAAGCTACGATAAATGAGCTATTCGGGTTATACGAGTCGGGTCTGATCGGGTAGCATTAAACAGTGAGTTTGGGTCACACATATATGGATCAGATCCGTCCCCAATTTTTTTATGATGGACACATTGGCATTGACAACGGATGGCATCCGTCACCAATAAGTATTGGTGACGGAAAAACATTGGCGACGGATTCGATCCATCGCCAATAAGTATTAGCGATGTATTAGAATCCGTCGCCAATAAGTATTGGCGATGGAACATTAGCGACGGATCAAATCCATCGCCAATACTTATTGGCGACGGATCTAATCCATCACCAATACTTATTGGCGACGGATCAAATCCGTCGCCAATAAGTATTAGCGACGGAACATTGGACGTCGTTAATGTTTCGTCGCCAATGTTTGTATTGGCGACGGATTTCAAATCCGTCGCCAATGCCCCGTCGCCAATGCTCAGTTTTCTACTAGTGATTGAAACTGCAACTTGATGTTATAACTGAGGACTGTCTTAAGGAACATTCACATAACTTTTTATAAAAATTAATCTTCAACCCTAAAGCTAATTTATATCCATATAGTAACTGTGACATTCCCACGTGAGTTTGACAGTGACCTTTCCAAGAGAAAGGTTTAGTCCCACATCAGTGGGTGAAGGGAAAATTAAGGCTTTATATAGTGAAGCTAAATACTCAAGTGTAACATCGGCTAGTCGATTTTGACAGTGGTTTGAGCCAAACAGCGCGTTACACTTGGTGGGTCCTATGGTTTGCATGCACCAACGAGCTGTTTGGTGTGAAAGTTAACATCTTCATTGATGTATTCATTACAACTTCAGTCATTACAATGAAAACAAAAAGATAGTTTTTTTATAAGACTCTTACAATGAAAACGAAAAATTACAACTCTCGTCAAAACAAACACAATGGACGTTTATTACTCGCTGTTTGTGTGGGATCTTTGTCTGTGCCGGGGTTTATCCATGAACCACCAAGGGATCAGCTCAAAGTACAGATTTCGTTGACTCGCGAAGGAGTCAAGAAACCAAAGCAATTATCTCGACAACAGCGAGATAACCACTCTTCTCGAGATCACAGCAACGGTGCGATCTTAAGGGAAGAACTGGGCTGCAGATCTGTCGAACTCTCATTCTTTATGCCGAAGAATTCACTGAGATCTCCTACTCCTCTCTAAAATTCGTGGTTCTTCAGTCTCTAATTCAGCAGGGCTTCGCCAAGGCTCGAGAATTCCAGATCTGTGCAAATGAAGGCCCTAGAGTTGTATTTATAGGCTTCGGGAGCTCTGTTTTCGGATAAGATTAACTGATTACCTCTTATCTTCAGTTCTAACCACTTTACCACGTTCTAGGATAGCTTTAGATCAGTTAGAACAAAATCCAGATGGTTAACGGGCGAAACAGCTTCGAAACAACATTTTTTAGGCTGGGAGACACACGAAGTGTCTCGGCCTTGGCCGAGACACTTGAAGTGTCTCGGCCTTGGCCGAGACACTTGAAGTGTCTCCGCTAAGGCCCGGGCACTGTCCAGGCGCGTCTCGGTCATTTTTGCTGTATTTTCCTCGTTCGATCTCGGAACTATGTGATACAAAGTGCGTAGGAAAGCCAAAGAAGAGCTCTACAATCTCCCATGGGTAAATCATACATTGGGTGAATGAGAGATGAGGTACATTTCGTCTTTTGTGAGCGAAACATAACTCCCGATCGGATCGTATCTTCATTATTCTATTGTTCTGTTGTTTCATACGGTTTGTCGACTCACTGTAGGCTGTCTAAAAATCACAGTAGATAGTTGATCCCCCATCAAACACCGATGATGGAAGTTACAATCTGACGACTTCCAGAAGACTACAATTTGAGGACTTTCACGTAGAAGGCTACAATCTGACGACCTTCACGACAACTGATGAAAGCTCTAATTCAACAGCCTTCACATCAATATTGGGAGTTACAATCTGACGACTCTCATATCCTATAACAGGCAAAGATCAATAAGCAATAGCCTTTGCAATGTTATAATGGACGAGGTTACAAGTCAACAACCTCTCTCAAACGCAGAAATTCACTTCTGTGTTTCTCGAATTCGAAGTTTAATTCTGCGTTTCTCAAATTCGAAACGCACACACCCTGTGCGTTCTCCAGTAAATATCTAACTCTGCAACGCAGAGTTAAAGCACTAAACGCACACATAACGTGCGTTCTTCAACAGGCTCAACTATGTGCCCCAAACTCTGGACGCAGAGTTGAACTTCAACGCTCCAACGACCTGTGCGTTTCCAATTCCAGAACGCATGCGGCCTGTGCGTCTCAAATCTCTAACAGAGATTTAACTAGGGGGTTTTCACAGCAAAATGGGGCGGGTTGATAGGTTGATCAATCGGTTTCTGAGATCAAAACCGCAAAGAGTTGAGGGGAGCTGGTATCAAAACCACCCAAGGTCAACAAATCTCGGCAGTTGAGTAATCGGAAGGAAGAGATCTTCGGGAGATCAAGGAACTGATCAACGATCA